GTCACCACCATGAAGCAGCTATGAGAGAAGACTTAGCGACATCTCAACACGATGCAGAACTTCCAGTAGCAGTATGCCGATCGATAGCGACGGGATTACTCGGTAGCAGACAAAGACCATATGCTTCTTGAGACATGCAACTTGGACTTGTCTCACCTTCCGTCTAAGCTCTAGTGTCACTTCGGTGGTCCCTTTTGCGTTGAGGAAAAGGTGATACCAGTAACATTTTGCTTGCGCTTACCTTCTACATGGAAGCTTCACAACACTTTCCATGTTCAACTACTGAAGCCCTACAAGGACCCCAACCTATATTTCTAGGGATGAGAATTACCACCACCACCGCCTGTTCTCGTACAAGATGAACTCGAGTACAAGGTGGAATGAATGCTCGCTCATCGACACAGATGCGGCAACACGCTCGAGTTTCTGATACGCTGGAAGGGATATGACCCGTCGGAGAACAGTTGGGTTGCAGATGCTGATATGGGCAACGCACTCCGCGCTCTCACGGATAATCTTGCCAAGCAAGGTGTATCTCACGCCACCCATCTTTGAGGGGGGGACGTGTGAGAGTACGACGGCTTTGCTAGACTTTACTTGCTTGATTTTACTTTATTGTGCTTTACCTTGTTTGGTTGAAATTTTTTTACATGATTTTGCTCGTTTTCCTTAGAAAAGTTGCTTGCCATATTTTCCGTTGCCATCGGATTACCTTATACCGAATTCCGGAAGGACCCGTTCTGGACGCTTCATGACCCACGGAACCTTCTAGTAACACCCTAGTACCTTTGTGTCGAGCCTATTTATAGCCTTGTGTTGTACCCAGGTATTCAATCAAAAAAAAAAAAAAAAAAACCAACTCCTTTGATCCTCACACTCCGGGACAGGACGGTCTGTCAATGGAACAACTGGGATAGGGCCAGGGTTGATGTTGTTTATTCGTTCCTTCTGCTCTCGAAAAGCCTTACGACGGGCGTTACAATCCTACTCCACAAGCAGGGGGATAAGGAGAGGCTGGAAAATTATAGACCAATTACGTTATTGAATATGGTGTACAAGATTGTCGCAAAGGTGTTGGAAAACAGGATGAAAGGGTGTTGCAGAAGGTGATCTTGGAAGATCAACACGGCTTTGTATCAGGCTGGAAGTTGTCGGATGCGGTGGCTGCAGCAGCAATGTAATTGACGCAGCAGTGACAGGGAAAGAGGACGGGTACCTGCTGTTGGTCGGCTTTCAGAAGGCATATGATTTGGTGTCGCGGGAATACCTTTTTAGCACCTTGAGGGAGATGGGTTTCCATGAGACCTTTGTCGGTTGGGCGGAGGGGCTCAAGGAGGCTGGAACCAGACTATTAATCAACGGCTGGATTGGAGAGCGGATGGGAGTCGAGGTCGGGGTGAGACAAGGCTGCCCACTTGCGTCTTATCTGTTCATCTACGCAATGGAGCCACTATGGGCCAAACAGTGGGCGGAGTGCATAATTAAGGCTATCGTGGAGGCAAGCAACATTAAACCTGGATGATGGAGCAAGTGGCGACGATGCCACTGGGATGGGCTACGCTATGGGCGCACAAAGGCATGGCCAGTTCAATGGAAAGGAGGCGGGGAAAGGTGGAAGGCAATTCAACAAATCCTCTGGAAGAGGAAGCTCCCACTGTTCGGGGAACCAAGGTCCAGATGAGAGGTGGAGCAGGAGCATCTCTAGTTCAAAATGGGGGACCATTTGGCGCCCAGCGTGGTTCAAAATGTCCGAATGGGAAGAAGCTTGCAAACCTGCTCATCACAAATCCATATGGAACGGTAGCGGTTAAAGACCTTCAGCGGCTAAGCAGAGAGCTAGCGGGCAAGATTCTGGCCAGGTGGGCACTTAAAGAATTCCAGGTTGCATCGTTGGAATGGCAGAACAATCAGCTGAGCAAGCGGACGGCAAAAGCTCATCAGCACCCACCGGTTCTTCATGATGTTCACACCGCATGGCGTTCGACCAGCTCCCTCATGCCCATGCCGATAAGGCTGCGGATCTACTCGTCCAAGGCGCCCTTCATCTCCTTGCCCTTTCAGCTCACCAGTGCCTCCTTCACTGTCATCGTCGCGATGTCCCAGCGGTGTTCTGGGTCGGCGTGCACGTCGGGGTCGAGCTCGGGCAGGTTGACATCGTCCTGCGGATCGTCGAGCAATGTTCCGTAGGAGGTCGGCGGCAGGCAAGCATGGTGGCTCAGCTTCTCGCGAGGCTTGCATGGTTGGGACGAGTAGAACGTCGCAACTGTGGCTCGTCGGCTTTGAATTCCACCAGATCGCTGTCAATGGATTGTTCCCCCGCGGACAGCTCCCCTTCTTCGTCGACAGGTTCGCCAACAACCTCCACAACGACGAACCATCATCAAGCTGCTCCCCTGTAGGCGGCTGCTCTGCAGATGTTTCCTTCATCGACGGCTCCCCTGTTAGTGGCATCCCCTCTGCTCGCTTCTCCCCTGTCGTCAATGGCTTCGCATCCTCGTCGATGAGCTTGGCGTCACGTCGGCCGTTGGCGATGCCACTGGTCGGCGCCACAGGCGACGTCCGTAGGCTCCGTTCATCGCCGGTGGCCGACGACGGTGTCGGTTCAGGCAAGTCGGCGACAAGCGGTGGCGCAGCAGGGACAGGGGCAGGAGGAGGAGAAGAAGGCTGGACGTCCTCGACGTCCTCGTCAACAGCCTCGTCGACCTCGGCGAGTAGGGGGGACGCCGTCGTCGAAGAGTCCGACGGTAAGTAGGCCCGCGCCCGTGCCGACATGCGTCTCCTTCCACACCTCCAGGGACATTGTCTTGTAGAAGATGGCCTCTATCGTTATGACCACCTTGTTGTTGGTCGGGTGGAGCACTTCCCATCCCTTGCTCTCCGGCGACAGAACAAGGTATAGCCCCCAACGAGCCTTCGGTGCCAGTTTCCCGCCGCACTGTTGCTCGGGGACCATGAACTGCACCATGCAGCCCCACACCCTCGCCAGCGTGAGGTCGGGCTTCTTGCCTGACAGCAGCTGGTGCGGTGTCGTCCCTAGTGGGAGCGTCGATCGCTCCAAGCAGTTGCGCACCCAGACGACCTGCCGCAAGGCGAGGTGCCACCAGTGGTGATACATCTTGATGTGCAGCAGCATCGTCCGCACGGCCTCAGTGAACGTGCGCATCTCCCTCTCCGCCATGCCATTCTGCTGCGGAGTGTACTGGCAGGTCAAGTCATGGACGATGCCTTTGCCATTGATGAAGTTGGTGAAGTCCATCCTCAGGAACTCGCCGCCGCGGTTGGAGCGGAGCATCATCACCAATTTCTTGGTATGCCTCTCAACGACCAACTGCCACTGCTTGAACACTTGCAAAACGTCTTTTTTTTTTTAGACCAGCCTCACCCACACGTCGCGCATCTTTCGGTCCTTCAGCAGAAGGAATAAGTGCACCCGGAACGATCCACACAGGTCGATGTGCACGACGGCCAGAGCTTCCTCTATGCGACGATGCTGAGGCAGATCCTTAGCGTGACGTAGCTGCTCACCGGCGATTACGTCTCGTCGTAGTCTGCACCGTACCCCTGCGTGAAGCCCTTCACGACCAATCTCGTCCTTCTCGCGCTCGACAGTGTCGATGCGGTACTTGGTCGTCAGCACCCACCGTTTCTTCATGATGTTCACCCCGCGTGGGCATTCGACGAGCTCCCAAGTGCCTATGCTGATGAGGCCGCAGATCTCTTCTTCCATGGCGGCTTTCACCGCCTCACACTTCCAGCTCGCCAGCGCCTCCTTCATCGTCATCGTGGCGATGTCCCAGCTGTGTTCTGGGTCGGCATGCACGTCAGGGTCGAGCTTCGACAGTTCATCCTCCTCGACGTCATCGTACAACAGGTCATTGTCAACCTCGATGTACGTGTGGTGAATGTCAAACTTATATGCTATAGTCTGTGTAGGCTGTAGTGGGGTAGCTCATATGGGGTACAACACTTTAGGGTTTCCTACTTGTACTTCTCATGATGCTCAATGCAATCATTCCTCATTTCTTCACATGGTATAGAGCAGGTTCCCTAGGTGGGAACGTTTCCTAGGGCCCACCACTGAAAATCGATTTTTTTTTTCCTGCCCGGAGCGCGCTTCTCTCTTGCCCGAGTCGCGTCCCGTGTGCCCTCCCTCCCGTCGCGTCCCTAGCCCGTCGCGCCCCTCCTCAGGCCCCTCGCGGCCCCTTTCGCGGCCCCTCACGGCCCCTCTCACGGCCCCGTTGATGCCGCCCCTAGCGGCCCCGTCGCCGCCCCTCTAGGCCCCTCGCGGCCCCTTCGCGGCCCCGTCGCCGCCCCTCTAGGCCCCTCGCGGACCCCTTCGCGGCCCCGTCGCCGCCGCTCTAGGCCAAGTCGCCGCCCCTCCAGGCCCCTCGCGGCCCCTTCGCGGCCCCGTCGCCGCCCCTTGCGACCCCGTCGCCGCCCCCTCTAGGCCCCTTACGGCCCCTCTACGACCCCGTCGCCGCCCCTAGCGGCCCCGTCCCCGCCCCTGGAGGCCCCGTCGCCGCCCTTCGCGGCCACCTCGCCGCCCTTAGCGGCCCCGCCGCCGACCCTAACGGCCCCGTCGCCGACCCTACCGGCCCTGTCGCCGCCCCTAGCGGCCCCGTCGCCGCTCTTCGCGGCCCCGTCGCCGCCTCTACCGGCCCCTTCACAGCTGAGCCGCCTTGCAGCTGAGCAGCCGAGCCACCACGCCACAAGCCGCCCAGCACCCGAGGCGCCCGACAGCCGAGCCACCGAGCCGCCCAGCAGCTGAGCCGCCGAGCCGCCGCGCCGCCCACCAACCGAGCCGCCGAGCCGCCCAGCAGCCGAGCCGCCCAACAGCCGAGCCGCCAAGCCGCCCAGCCGCCGAGCCGCCGAGCCACCGTGCCGCCCAGCAGCCGAGCCGCCGAGCTGCCCTGCCGTCGAGCCACTACTGTTCCTACCGGCGCGCCCCGGCCCTACTTCCTTTGACTGGTGAGCTCACTCCCTGCTAGGCCACTGCAGTCATGGCTACCCCCAGTGTCCTTACCTTTGATACTGAGGGTCGTGCTGTTGACTTTGAGGTCTGGCTCGATGACCTCCAGCTGTTCCTACAGTGCGATAGGGCAGACGGACTCTCCCTGTTCGATCTCACCTCTAGTGTCTCTCCTGCCCCGCCTGCTACTGCTGACAGCACTGTTCACTCATAGTAGGCCACGTGGGATGCTGCTGCCCGTCTTGCTGTGCGTCGCCACTTACCGACCACTGAGCGTGCGCACTTTATCCCGTACAAGAGTGCTAAGACCTTGTACGACGCTGTAGTTGCACACTACTCTTCCCCTGCCATTGCTGCGCTTAGCCGCCTCATGCTACCGTACCTGTTCCCTGACCTTGCTGCCTTTCCCACAGTCGCTGACCTCATTACGCACCTTCGCACTAGCGACACTCGCTACCGCGCTGCGCTTCCTGCTGAGTTCTGTGCGAAGAACCCCCCCCCCCCATATACATCACCCTCTACTACATAGTCACCCGGCTCCCTGACTCCCTTCGTTTAGTAAGGGACCACTTCCTCTCACTTTGCCCCACCACACTCACCGTTGACCTCCTCAAGGAGCGCCTCCTAGCAGCAGAGAAGAGCATAGTCGCTGTAGGAGCCTCTCGTGGTGACCCTCGCACCCCCGTCTTTGAGTGGTGTTCTCCCTCCCCCCTCTTGCCCTCTGTTGCTTCTGCTGCTGAGGCCGACCTCGTTGGCTTCGAGTCGGTCGGCGCTGCGTCTGCCCCTAGCGGGAGACGTCGCACAGGCAAGGGCAAGGGGGGCAAGGGCGTTGGAGGGGTTGGCGGGGGTGGTGGAGGTGGTGGTGGAGGCAGTGGAGGGGGTGGGGCGGGTGGTGGGAGTGGTGGTGGGGGTGGAGGTGTTGGTGGCAGCAGTGGAGGCGGAGGAGGCGGCGGTAGTGGCGGAGGGAGCGGAGGCGGCGGAGGTGGCGGAGGCGGCGGAGGTGGCGGAGGCGGCGGAGGTGGCGGAGGCGGCGGAGGCAGCGGAGGCAGCGGTGGAGCTGGTCGCATCTCTGCACAGAGGAGTGGCTCCGGTGGTGGTCCGCGCCAGCAGCAGCAGCGCAGTCGTGAGACCATGTCCCCTCAGCAGCTTCCTGAATGGTACGCTGGGCGTCAGCGGGGTGGGGGTACTGGTCCCTGCACCTACGTCCTCCGTACAGGCGACCGCGCTGGTGAGCAGTGCGGGGGCACGCACTCCACCCAGCGCTGCTTCGGCCGCCTGACGGACGCTTGGCGTCATCAGTTCCCTGACGCCACTGAGATCCCTCACTGGGGAGAGCTGTCTAGGGCGGGGGTTGCTATCTTTGATCTTGACTATGATGCTATTCTTGCTGCCATGTATGCTGTGTCTACTGGTGATGAGGGTGACTGCTACCTGCGCGTTCCGCCTGACCCGGGCATTGAGGCTGCTGCTCTAGGTGCTGGTGAGGCTGCTGCTCTAGGTGCTAGTGCGTCTGCTGCCACAGATGCTGGTTAGTCTGCTCTCTCAGGTACCACGTCGGCTCAGGCCTTGCACACCTTCACCCTTGACTCGGGTGCTTCCCTCTCCTTCTTTCGAGACCGCACCACGCTTACACCGCTTAGTCTGTCGGTTGCGGTCTCCCTGGCGGACCCCTCTGGGGGTCCTGTCCTTGCTAGCTTCTCCACTGTCTTACCGTGTCCGACAGCCCACTCTGGCACTCTGTCAGGTCTCTACCTCCCCTCGTTCTCTGCAAACTTGGTGAGTGGAGCTGATGTACAGGATCGGGGGGTTGACCAGTTCACGCCTGCGAGTCAGCGGGTGACCCACTGTACGTGTGCTCGGACGGGCCAACACTTGGCCACGTTTATCCGTCAGCCGGGGTCGAGCCTGTACCCACTGACTACTGGGTCTCCTCTGGTTGCTGAGTCTGGTCAGGTAGCTGCGTCGAGTCGAGGTATTTGCTGCAGCATCCAGGTCTGGTCCTGAGTCTGCGCCCTGCTCGTGTCGTCTCCTGTCCCACCAGACTCTCCTTTGGCACCACCGCCTTGGTCACACCTCCCTGCCTCGTCTCCGAGCATGGCCTCACGTGTCCTTGTCTCTGGTCTCCCCCGGTCCCTCCCTCCCGTACCTCCGGGTCCTGCCCCTACCTGCGTCCCCTGCGTTGAGGGGCGGCAGCGTGATGCCCCTCACTCCTCCGAGTTTCCTCCAACAGAGGCTCCCCTGCAAGTCTCTTCACATGGACGTGTGGGGCCCCGCCCGCGTCCGTGGCCAGGGTCACGAGCGCTACTTCCTGTTGGTGGTTGACGACTACTCGTGTTACACCACGGTGTTCCCCCTATAGGCTAACCCACTGTAGCCTAAACAACTACAACATATATATAATGTTTGACACACCCCCATAGGCGAAGTGGGGGAGAACTAGGAGTCACAAGACTAGTCAAGTAAAGCAAAGCAAAGCAAAGCAAGCTCAGGGTGGATCACAAAGTCACCACACATTCCGAGCACAAGTTCAAGGCCACAAGGCCATTTCACATGCAGGAGTACATATATATATAAGGCTAGACAAGCAAGAGCAGCAATATATATATGTAACAGTACAAAGAGGGTCAAGAGGAGAGCAAGTGAGGCAAGACAGGCACAAGACCCAGCTGGGTACAGAAGCGCTGATGATCACAAGGCGGAAGTGCCTTGGTCAAGACATCAGCAGTGTTGGCCTCAGAGGCCATGTACGCAAGTCGCAACTGACCACGCTGCTGTAGCTCAAGAGCAAGGAAGTAGCGTAGAGCAATGTGCTTTGTTCTGTGCTCCAGTCTCTGCTCTCGACACAAGGCCAGCATGGCCTTGTTCTCTACGTACAGGACTGGAGGAGAACGAGGCGGCTCTCCAAGATCGGTCAGCAGATAGGTGAGCCAGCGAAGCTCCTGAGCAGCCATGGCCCCTGCGTAGATCTCAGCCTCACAACTGGAGCCGAGAACAGAAGACGAGCGAGTAGCCCGCCACGAAACAGAGCCGGAACCAAGGCTGAAGGTGTAACCCTGTGACGACCGCTGCGTAGCCTGGTCGTCAGCCCAAGAAGCGTCTGCGTGACCAGTGAGGACCACTGGACTCCGCCCTCCAAGCACTAGCCCCATGCCCGACGTACTGCACAAGTAGCGCAACACCCTCTTCGCTGCAGCCATGTGCTCTGGTCGGTGTCTCCCAGGAGCAACATAGCGTGCGAGAATGCTAAGAGGGTATGCAAGGTCAGGTCGTATTCAGGTCATCAGGTACATGAGGCAGCCAACAAGCTCTGGGTACGGGCCACTCGACTCTACGGACTCATCCGAAGGCAGAGCTGAGAGTGAGTGGCTGAGTAGACAGAGGAGTGGCCTGAGGCAAGGAGTACGTGAAGCCGAAGCGCTGAAGGACCTGCTGCACCATGTGTGACTCAGTCAGGGTAATGGTGCGGCGTGCTTTGTCCCGGGTGATCTGCAAGCCAAGGTAGCTGCGCAGTTCACCCAGGTCTGTGCACGTGTGTCTCTTCTGCAGCTCGGACTTCACGTAGGCGAGTCCAGTAGTGTCAACTGTGGCAAAGACCAAGTCTTCGACGTACACGAGGATGTAGAACGGCGGCAGAGACGTGTCAGTGCGTAGAAAAAGCGACGGGTCAGCAGTGGAGGGAGCAAACCCAAGAGCCGCAAGTGTAGTCCTCAGTGTGTCGTGCCACTCACGTGGCGCCTGGCGGAGACCGTAGACCGGCCGCCAAAGGCTCCACTGGGTGCCAGGAGGAAAAGTCCCAGTGAAGTAAAGAGGGCGGCGCAGCCAGATCTCCTCGTGCAGGCTGCCTTGCAGGAAAGCAGTGCTGAAGTCGAGAGAGTGCAGCTCGTAGTCACAGTGAGTAGCAACGTGCAGCAGTACCCGAAGAGTGGTCATCTTCGGGGTGGGAGAGAAGGTCTGAAAGTAGTCAACTCCCTGCCGCTGACTGAAGCCACGAGCCACGTACCGTGCCTTGAAGACAGGCGGAGAACCAGGCGGCCGCTTCACCCTGAAAATCCACATGCAACTGACGATGTTCGCCCCAGGAGGGGGGACAGCGTCAACGTAGGTGCCTGTGGACTTCAAGGAAGCCATCTCTGCATCCATAGCTGCCTGCCACTGAGAAGAGTAGGGACCCTCTATCGCCTCTGCGTAAGAGCGCGGAGTCGGGATGTAAAGTGCATCCGGGTCTCCCTTAGGGCCAAGCACTTGAACTCCTCCTGCCTGTCCTCAAGGACGTCCGTGCCAAGGGCACACTCACCCTAGACGGGCAGAGGACAGACAGACTCAGACTCAGCGACAAGACTAGCAGCGTAGTCTAGGCGACAGCGAGCAGCAAAGTCGACGAGCTCAGCAACTAGGGCAGACGCAGCAGTGGACTCGAAAGAAGGGTCAGTGATGACAGTAGCAAAGAGACGCGTGACAATAGGACTGGCAGCACGAAGAGAGTCCGACTCCGGGTCGGCAAGGGCAGGAAGAGAAGACGCAGGAGGAGAAGGCAAAGGGGCACGCAGAGGAGTAGTGGACGGACACAGAGGCATCCGGTGCATGCCACGGACAGGAGGAGGACGCTGACGCGAACCGCGACCACTAGTGCGAGCAGTACGGGCAGGCGACGCAGGGCGAGACGCAGGCTCACGACGCTCAGCAAGACCTCCAGTAGGGTCAGTGTAGGGAGAAGGAGCAGGCAGTGGGGAGGCGGGCCGTAGCTCCAACTGTGACTGGACAGGCTGTGGACACTCTAAGGGAGGAGGAGGACCGGGAGAAGGCGAGAGACCAAGAACCTGCTGAAGGAGCGGAACGAAGTACGGTCGCCGCCGTGCAGCGACCCCAGAACCAGCAGATACACCAAGGCCAGGGTCCTCAGCACCAGCAGCAGCTCCAACTCCCGACTCCACAGCACCAGCAGCAGCACCAGCTCCAGGGACCTCAGCACCAGTAGTAGCACCAACGCCTGACTCCACAGCACCTGCAGCGGCACCAGCTCCAGGGTCCTCAGCACCAGTAGTAGCGCCAACGCCCGGGTCCTCAGCACCTAGCAGCAGCTCCAATGCCAGGGTTTGCAGCAGCAGCAGCAGCTCCAACGCCCGGGTCCGCAGCACCAGCAGCAGCTCCAACGCCCGGGTCCTCAGCACCAGCAGTAGCACCAGCGCCCGGGTCCTCAGCACCAGCCGCAGCACCAACGATAGCAGCGGGGTCCACGACACCAAGCGCGCCACTCCGAAGCTTGCCGCGCCGCTCGTACCACTCACGGATCCGCTCACGGGAGGGGAGCTCCCGACTAGGAGGAGAAGCACTAGCACCAGTCCCTGTAGGACGCCTGGCTCCAGAGGTACCTCTCCTGAGGCTGCAGTACTGTAAGTACCACTCACGCAGCTGCTCCGAGGAGAGGGCTCCTCCAGGTGTAGGACCCCCTAGCTCAGCACCTCCAGACTCAGAACCCCCAGACTCAGCACCCGCACGCTCGGCACCCCCAGGCTCAGCACCCGCAGGCTCAGCACCCCCAAGCCCCGCACCCCCAGGCTCAGCACTTCCAGTCGCCGCACCCCTAGGCTTAGCACCCCCAGTCTCTGCACCCCCAGGCTCTGCACCCCCAGCAGGACGAGAGTCGACAGCAACCTCAACAGGCTCAACCGGGTCTACCTGAGACACACCAGAGGGAGCGGCACCCTGAGGGGGGAGGGGGTCTACGACAGCAGCACCTGGCGCGAGGAAGAGAGGCGGGGGAGGGAGCGGGGCAGTGCGGTAGGGGAAGAGGCGGTAGTAGGGGACGGACTCGTTAAAAGTGACGTCCTGAGAGGGCAAGACCCGGCGCGAGGTGGCGTGGTAAAACTGCCAGCCAGGCGCGTCCGGGACAAAGCCGAGGAAGACGCAGGGAATAGCACGTGAGGAGAGCTTGTCCGCAGACGTATCGCGGACAAAAGCTCGAGATCCCCAGACCCGGAAACGCGACGCATCGCCAACCTCCCCCGTCCACAGCAGTGTGGGCGAGGTCTCCGGCAAGGAGACACGGGGCCAGAGGTTGAGCTGATGCGCAGCGTACCGGACCGCAAACGGCCACAGAAAGTGGGGGGCACCCGCATGGATCAAGGAGGTACGGGCGACCTCCATGACCAGGCCAATGCGGCGCTCCGCAACCCCATTCTGCTGTGGAGAGGCCAGAAGCGTGAACGTCTGCTCAATGCCGTGCTCAGCACAGTAGGCTGCCAAGAGGTCGGAGGAGAACTCACCACCTCTGTCAGAGTGCAAGCGCAGGACAGGAAAGTCCGAGTGGAAACGCTCGCTGAGCTGGAGACGGGCTCTGCGGATCCAAGGGATCAAGACATCAGGGACCTCACCCTTAGTGCGCAAGGGGAAGACCGTGGTGTAGCGCGAGTAGTCGTCAACAACTATCAGGAAGTACCTCTCCTGACCCTGACCACGGACGCGGGCTGGGCCCCACACGTCCATGTGGAGCGTCTGCAAAGGAGCAGTCGTCGGGGGAAACGAGGAGGAGTGAGGAGCGGCGCGCTGCCGCCCCTCGACACAGGGAAGACAGGGAGGAGCAGGCGAGGGTGGGAGGGGAGGGAGGACTCTAGGAAGACCAGAGACAAGGTACCGGGAGTGCATGGCACGAAGGCGCTGCACAGACGGGTGGCCAAGTCGCTGGTGCCAGAGGACAGTCTCGTGCGCTAGAGAGCAACACGAGCAGGGGGCAGACAGCTGACGTGACGCGGATGCAAACGCAGACGCAGCGACCTGAGGGGACGCGGTAGTCAGTGTGTACAGGTCCGACCCTGGCTTCCGGGTGAAGGTAGCCAAGCGGCGGCCCGTACGAGCACACGTGCAGTGGGTGAGACGCTCGTAGGCAGGGGTGAACTGGTGAACACCCCCGTCCTGGAGTGCACAACCTGCCACCAAGTTCGTAGAGAACGAGGGGAGGTGGAGACCTGACAGTGTGCCCGACGGGACCGCAGGACAGGGAAGGACAGTGGAGGAGGTCGCAATGACCGGACCCCCAGAGGGGTCAGCGAGGGAGACAGCTACTGGCCGAGCAAGTGGCTCAAGGGCAGTGCGATCACGAAAGAAACAGCGAGAAGCACCTGAGTCCAGCGTGAAGGTGTGCAGTGCTGCAGTCGACACAGTACTAGAGGGGGCAGACGTACAAGCACCTAGAGCAGCAGCC